TCTAATTTTGCCTCTATATTATTAGGCTAACTAATATTTAAAAAATTGATAGTCAAATTGACATCCTACTTATTGTTGACCCCCTTACAATAAAAGGCTATTGATTAAATTTTAGTAGGGTCAATGTATCAATTTCTAAAGGATTTGTTTTACCATATTTGATTTTGATATCTATTAAAGGAAAAGCTGTTTCATAGTAGGTTATAGATAAAAAGAATCATTCTTCTTATAAGGTTTTTGACACATTTAACTATAACTTATCATCTTGCCTGAAAACCCTCTCTCTCTATATCTCTATCTCTTCCCTCTTTCTCATTGTAGAAGTCATTCTCATTTTGTTGGTAGACTAACTCACACGAATTCAGAGTAAACTTCACTAACCTTTTCTCCCTCTTGTTGTCCCGCCTTTCTCAGTACACCATATCTCAACCTACCTTCTCCCTCTCTCGCACACAACAACACCATCTTGCAAGACTTTCTCATTAAGAATATTAAGAATAACTCAATATCTACTCATATTAACCCTCTCTTCTTTCAACTATTGTTGTTGAACTCTTCTTCACTTCTACATAACAATTACCTTTTGCACACAAAAACCCAACCATCTCACTTTAATGATGTATTTTTTCCTATGATTGTCTCTAGAAATGTGCATAATTTTAATAGTAACATGTGTATCACTGATTGCAAATATATCATAAAGAGACTCAATTTGGCTATTATTTATCTTCTTGAAATCAAATTACATAGTTTTTTTTGGTTTCGAACCCTTTTTTATCAATCACTTCTCTTTATTTTGAAATGAAGCATCCACAAAAAAAATTTACCCTTTCTCCAAATAGTCATGTTTGGAATTTTTCCTTCATAACTTTCACTATTATTCATATTAATGCTCAATTTATACATGATGAACTTGTTTTTGATCTCATACTAATTTACTTGTCACCTTTTTGTATGTTGGCAACTACCTCTTAAAGAGAAAAGATTTGTGAAACTTTATCATAGATTTAGTTTTATTTTTCCATGAACCTTGGATCATATTAAGATACTTTAATTGCTTTAGCTCTCTAAATGAAAAAAATTGGCTAGTTGTCGCTTATTCCAAGTAAGCTTCAAGATTTTAATGATTTCTTATTCAATTATTATCTTATTAATGTGGGCCTCAATCAACAAATAAAAAATCCTATAAGCTATATATTGAATTGATCCCTTTGCAATAGATTGACTTATCTCCTAACTTTTTATGTAAAGTCTTACAACTCCTTCCATCAGATCACTCTACTATACTAACTTCATTAGGGTAAAATCTTACTCCTGTTTTAGATTATTATTTAAGAAATGTAGAATTAAATGTGAGAAATTTCACAATATTAACTGAAATATTTGGTTTCAACAAGCAAAAGAGTACCCTCATTTTACTCTATATAACAAACTTAAGAAAATAAAAATTACTTTAAAGAATACTTCATGGACTTCTTCTTATTATATTTCTACTAATATATATTACCTTAAATATAAAATTTTGCATGATCTTAAGAAACAACCCCTTGATAAACATTTTGTTTTATAGGCTTTTTTATATCCAAGGAATACTCATTGAAGCTGCTTATTATGGAAGTAATTGGATTAAATAAAAAGTTAAATGTGCATAGCTTATCATTGCATTCTTGGCACATCCAATCGTCGAGCCCATGCCTCTACGACATGCCCACACTTTTGGGTCCCTGCCTTCTCGGCACACCTAATTGTTGGGCCCCTGCCTCCACGGAACGCCCATCCTTTTGGGTCACTACCTCCTCGACACACTCAGTCATCGGGCTACTTCCTTCTCGACACACTCATCCTTAGGGTCACTGCCTCCTTGATACACCCAGTTGTTGGGCCCCTACCTTCTCGACATGCCCAACCTTCGAGTCATTACCTCCTTGGCACACCCAATCGCTAAGCCCCTACTTCTATGATATGTTCATCCTTTGGGTCACTGCCTCCCTAACACACCTTGTCATCGGGCACCTACCTCCACGACACACCCATATTCAGGTCAATGCCTCCTTGCCACACCTCAATTGTTGGGCCATTGCCTCCGCGATGCGCTCATCCTTTGGGTCACTGCCTCCTCGGCACACCCAGTTGTTGAGCCCCTGCCTCCATGACACGCCAACCCTTTCGGGTCACTACCTCCTAGGCACACCTAGTAGTCAGTCCCCAGCCTCCGTGACATGCCTATCCTTTCGAGTCACTGCCTCCTTGACACACTCACATCCTTTCTGCATATACTTGTTTGCATATGTTGCATGTTTACATGTGTGATCGTTGAGTGCCTCTCGGGTAAGGTGTGAATCATGTTTATAGGTATCCTTCCACTCAACACAAATTCAATTGCAATTGGTGCTTTCTTATCGCATGGTGCTTCGAGTCCTCGGGCAAGCGTAAGTCTCACTTTGGTAGCTTCTTCTTATCGGTACATCTCATTCATGAGTGACATGTTGCATGTTACATCCTTGCATTTTGCATGATTAGTGCTTCGCCCTCTCAGGCACCACTGTGGTTATTCGTGCTTACACACTGTGGTTACAAAGAAAGTAGTCAAATGGTCACAATGTAGGCTTCTTGCATGGCTATGCGCTTGCACATTCACTCTGGTGGCTTGTCCTGCTCGTTAGGTGAGTGACCCCGTGTCAGTCGTGATGCCTTAACAAGCATTGCTTGTTGGGTTGATCCCAATGAGCAATGTGAGTTAAGTCATCGAGATTGACATGAGGATGATTGTGCTAAAGATCTGAGGGTTCTAACGTGTGTCATATGTGTCATGAACCTGCATCATAGGTCCACTATTTTAAATGTATAAAAATGAATATTTTCATTATTTAAGTATTGTCTACCTACTTTTAAAACTATATATGTTAGGTCATATGTGAGTCAACTTTTTTAAATGTCACTCTTCTCCTGTGACATCCATTAAATCTCTTAGATCTTTAAGACAGGGCCAGTGTGGCAACCCCGTCAAGGTCATATGGTAGCCAGAGACTTTACCCTAAGCACTTAGGCAATGATCATGTCACTTTTCATTAGATCGTGTGCTAGGCTAGTTCTAATGTTCTAGGTAGTATTTTTGATGCTTGATTATTGTTCTTTGCTAGATTGATTTCCTTAACTACACATCTTTTCTGTTTTGTGCTTTTGGTGTGACTGCATGCTTGATATTCATGGTAGCGTGTTACCTTTTTTTTCTACAGGGAGTCGTGCCTTTATACACACTCACATTGGTACAATAAAAGGGAGCATGTGATAATTTCCACTAACCCTTCTCTTACAGGTGTTGTTTAAAACCCCCACCAGGCACGACCTATTATGCGGTGCACGGAGGTCACCACCAATGCTTATTTCTTTTGCAAGTTGAGTCTTTTTTCTCTTTTTCTTTGTACTTTTTAAAGTCCAGGAGAGTTCTGTAGTAGAAATTAGATATGAGTATGGGTTATGAGGCACTTTGATGTGGGACCCACATGGCGGGGACCAGGAGCAGATGCTCTTGTCTCGTATCTAAATTTTGCATTTCATATTGAAGTATAAAATTAGGACAGGGCATGTACATGCTGATTCCGACCACCTTTTTCTTTACTGGGATACGTTGTCAACCTAGCAACATTTGACCTGTTATATATTCTATTTGGCTTGTTTCTGCCTCATTGCATGAATGAATGCTTGAAATTTTTTCTTATTTATTTATGTGGTTTGTGTAGGAACCACGATGCAATATAGACTCATTAGGACTTAAATCGTAATTTTTTTTTACAAAATCTTAATAAAATATATAAGATAATGAATTTTTAGGATTTAAATATTCAGGGCTTGCACTTTTACTTTCTGCATGGCCTTTGAATCAGATTTTAAATGGGTTGCATTGTATGACTATAACCCAAGTCATTTAATAGGGCTTTCATAATATTTAAGGACCACTTTAGAAAATTACATTCACAATTGCATGTTCCGAGGAGAAGTCCACGCGCTCCTTTAACCTGACTGACCTAGCATATCTAGTGCGCTTAGGGTGTTAGAAGGCTCCCCAACCTAGACGGGTCTTAAGTCCTTTTGTTTGGAGCATTTCTAGCTTTGTAGCTGAACCTCCCATTCTCCTCCTTTCCTGAGGCATCTTTGTCATTTTGGCAGGAATAAGTCCTACATGTTGGAGCTCTAGCCGATAGTCATAAGATCAAGTTTCCTTTCTTTGACCTTAGAGCTACCAAGGTCCCCAATAGACAACGCAATTCATGGATTGCTGACCGGAAATCTCTGGATGTATTGGGCCGACTACTTTCATGAGCGAGTAAACTTAGGGTCCTAACAGCTTTGGATGACGGGTCTGTGGTACATTGATCCGATTACCTCTACCTCATTGGATTACTCTTCCATTCCAGTGACTACCCCTATTGAGCCCTTTGCTCTTTAACCTCGTCAATTCATGGATTGCTCTTTAACCTCGTCAATTCATGGATTGCTCTTTAACCTCGTCAATTCATGGATTGCTCTTTAACCTCGTCAATTCATGGATTGCTCTTTAACCATTTTTCCAGTTTCTTCCTTCTCCTTATCATTCATATGATCCAAAAAAGAGATTTATCGGGAAAATGGAAGTATACGACGATCCACAAGCCGACGACTCCTTCAAAAATAAAAAAAAAAAAAGAACACAAACAGAATTACCAATGAAAGTTGGGTGAACCCCATCCTACCCCCAAAAAAAAGTAATAAAAAAAAAGATAGAGCAATAATGGTGGTCTCAACTTTAATTTTGGCCAGTGCTACTGTGTAAAGTTTGGTAGTCAGTCCCTTACTGTAAACCTTCATAAATCTTGTGAGGCCAAAAAGGGAGCACGAGCTGGCCATGTGATTGTCTCTTATTTACAACACACGAAAAAGTCAAGACAACAGAACCTTTCATATACCTTTATGAAAAGAAACTATTCGCAGTCCTCATCTCCATTGTTTAGCTTCTGAATCACTCAAATATGAGAACTGGAGCAGGTCAAAGCTTGTGGTGACCGAAGACCTACCCAACCTTTCCTGAAAGCTTCCAAGGCCTTCCCACTCTGCTCATCTTTTTCTCTTTTTACACTGCTAATGTCTTCTGCATGTGGACCTTTCTGGCACATGATGCTTAGAGAGCGAAAATGCGTGTGCTGCAAAGAATATCTGGTGAGATATATCATTATAAAGCATGCTATATGTCCAAAAAGAAGATTAAAAGAAAGTTAGCTTAGATATACACATCTTAAATCTGTTTTATGTTCTTTTGCACCAGCCTAAAAATTTAAACCATGTTATCTGTCCAAAAACTTTAAAGTGGTTGGCATTTTATTTGTTATACTAACCCCATTTTCTGCAAGAATTTATGATTTTGTGATGAAGAATTTTATTCTCTTCATGGATATTTGAAACGTATGATTAAAATGAATCAAAGTTAAGAGAGCTACGCAAAATTTTGATGCTATAGGCAGCTTCCAGATTATTTGGACACAGAAAAAATCACTTGTTTGCTTAAGAAAGTGTCTTCCATGAATTAATTTAATGAACGTGTCAATTAGTAGCAATAAAATCATTTAGAAGAAAAAGATATATAGAAATTTACGCAACAAAATTGCAAGACATAAAATTTTATTTTTTTCAAAATGCAATTAAGTCCTATCTCAAAAATATAAGAACCTTACACGAAGATTAAAAATACAGAGATATAAGCAGTGGCAGAAGCAGACAAAGTGGTGGTGAAATTAAAAGTGATAAGTGTTTCAGCATAGAATTTACATCTCCTTAAAATGATTTTAAACTATTAAAATTATTAATACTAGATTAAAAGTATAACTAAAAATAAGTTATTATTAAATAATTATGTTTTTGAAATAAAATATTTAGTGAATTATATGACAATGGGTTTTGTAAAAATCGATAGATGACCGAGCGCATCTCTTAGGTACCATTTAATTTCTGGCACTGAATATAAACTATAGTAATTTGCCAAATAATCCTTTATAAATGTTCTTCAACATAGTTCTCTCTAGGAGAAAAAATATTAAATAAGGTTCAAGTTTATATTTGATGCAAATTAATAATAAATGTATGACAAAATAATTGTGGATTTATTTTCATTGAAGAAGTTAATTCAACTAAATTGTTATTTATTATAATTTTCTATTTTGAATTTTAAGCATTCCATAATAATACTAATGAAAAAACAACAAAACTATTTTAGTAAAATTGATTGGGGGAGAGGATTAGCTCGCTGCTGTTTGCCACTGTATCCTTTCAATCAAAGAAGTGCCCTCCTAAGAATGAACACTTGGGTGTCACATACAGCTTGGGCTATTTTCCAAAAGAGCCTAATGCTGTGTGGGAGAAGAGTTCTGTCATTCACAATATTGTGTACGAAAAATATGTTAGCACAAATCTCACAAAAGATGAATAGCTCGGATGGAAGATACAAACCATCAAACAAGGTTTTTGACGATCGTCTGGGTTGAATACTGGTGAAGGAGGCGTCTGGTTCTAGCAAAAGGAGGAAATTTCTCACAGAGTGCTGATCGGCCCTCAAGACGATCGGCAAAATGCATTCCTTTTTGGATAGACTATCGGCGGACTCAAGGCATAACAAATGACCAACAAGCTTCCTATCGATCGAATGAGTCCTCTGATCTTATCACATGTGGTTATATTTGTAATTACCAAAATGACTCCTTAAAAGGCTAATGATTGAGTTTCTTCTCCATGTTGTTCTCCTCTTCTTATTTTTTGCATAAAGCACACTCACTACACCTTTTAGAATGTTGAATTTGAGATTGTCCTGTAGAGCACAACCAAGGAACAAAGTGAGAGAGAAAGAGAGAAGAGGAAATGAGAAAAGTTCGATTGAACTGTTCATTAGCTATAAAATATAGAAATGACCCTCTATTTATAAGTTCAGAAGGTATGAAGTAAACAGTTACTTGCTTTCCTTTGCTCGATCAAAGACACTATAAGGTATTTTGACCATACATAAATACATGAATAAATAAATACATGGATAAATAAAAATATAAAAAAGATCTCTTGCTTGGTTGGTACATTCTTCGTTCTTCTAAGAGTGAGGGCCTTTGGTTGGCCAGGCTAAGGGCCTTCGGTCGACCGGGCAATGGACCTTTTGTCGACCCAATTATGGGCCTTCGGTTGGCTTGAATGTGAGCCTTCGGTCGGCCCGACAATGGTCTTTCATTCGGCCTGAATAAGGGTTTTCGGTTGGCAAGGTTGGGGCCTTTGGCCAGCCTGGTTATGGCCTTCAGCAGTTTGCTCCCTTGAATTGACTATTAATCACTGCCTCCTTTGAATGGTATACTTATTTTCAAGATGAGGCTAGGCTATCGGGCATAGGAAACTTTATCGTAATTTGGCAATTAGTTATACCCTTTAACAGGAAAGCCGCTATGGCGGTTCGCGTCGGTGCCGCATTGAGTGTTTGTGGTCTAGGAAGGCCTTAAGGTTCTTAATGAGATGATCTGTGGCGTCATTTTGATCAAGCGCTTGGCAAGTCCCCTTTTTTGGTTGGGTATTCCCTGATCCTTACCCTGACGAGCTACTAGGCATCGGATTACATAGGTTCACGTTGATGCGACCTTTGACTTCTGGTGGGTCATCTTTGACAATGCTTGTCTTTAGGTCTGTAAGAATTATTTAAGATTCGTGCTGATATATTATGGGCGTACAAAAATTAACTTATTTTAATATGAAAAAGCTGTTTTATTTTTTTGTATGCTTATGTTGTCAAGACAATATCAAAATTAACTGATTTAGCTTTTATTAAAATCTTTAAATCATTAAAAAAATTAAAACAATCATATACAAATCAAATCCTAAATCAGTCAAAATTCAACTCAATCATATAAATAGAAAATATTTATAAAAAATACCTCATATATTGTCATCATTTTATACGGAGACAATATCCATGATATTAATGCTGTCATTGTTTAAGACGTCGAAAATATCAATTTATTTTTTTTTAAATGTGAAATGTTAGAAGATATTTTAACCGTCAGATTTTAAAATTCTCTTACCTTTGCATGAGAAGGTGTACGTGATGAATAACATAAAAATAGTATATATATATATATATACTTTAGCTCTTCTGATTTTCTCTGCTTCCTCGAAGGCTTCCTTCTCAGCCTCTTTATTTTTTGTCCAAAGCTCTTCCACAACTTGCTTCGCATATTCCGGGTCATCGCATACAAGAACATTGTCGAAAACGGAACCAGCCTTTACCTGCAAGTGTTCATAACATCTATGAATATCACATGAAACATTTCATTCTTTCAGCACAACAAATGCTGGAAGTATATTTAATACCTGCCATACTTCAATAGCAACATATTTCACAGGCTTGAGCACATAGAGATCAGGATCATCTTCAAAATCTGTAAAATTTGGCAGGGTACATCACCTGCAACAAGCTTACTTAAAACAAATGAAAATAAAATCACCAATAATCACAACTTACCTGGGTTGTCAATCCATGGAGTCTTCCATTTTCCCATATAGTTGGGGTTTTTGATTCTCTGCAATTTTCATGATTTGGAATCAGTTAGAGCTAATAACTGCTAGAATGTATTTGATGTACCAAGCGCATAACAAGTAAGATGTTCTTTTTGTCAGTAAATAAGTTAGGGATAACAAACCTTTGGCTTCCATGGACCCTTGTATGCTGAATTTGGGATATTCGGTGGCTTCCATATTCCATCTTCATCTTCATCCCACGTATCAGGCTTTTTTTTCCCAGCACATGACAAAAGCACTATTACAATTGCATTTACTACAACTAGTTTATGTAAACAGGAAAAAATATTACGTTAGGAATCTGAACGTAGAGCTACGTTCAGACTACAATAGTCACTGTGTTATAGGAATATCCCGTTGTGTTATAGAAATATCCCATCACGCTATTTGTGAAAAATGAAGTGTTATTGGAATATTCCCCCGAATTACTTGATTTGGGGCTGTGTTATTCCGATGACATAGTGGAAATTGAAATAACACGGGGAATATGCCGATAACACAACCCCAAATCAAATAACGCAAATAGTTGTGCACCTCACCTTTTTAGCATTCGGGTCACGAATTTCAGCCGGAATAAAATCATATCCCTGCAATGCATTGATGAATCGTTAGAGAAAAGAAGAATATGCATCAGTTTCAGAGGAAAAAATAGTATTTATACGGCTCATAACCTCAGGTTTAACATCACCAGGATCATTGATGTATTCCCTGTCATCCCAGTCTGCAGGCTGAAACCAATGACATGCTCATATTAGATGTAAATGAACCAAAAAAAAAAAAAAAAATTGTTGATTGGCAATTGAGAAAAGAGCAGTGGTATACCTTCTTAGCATTTGCAACTTTAATCTTACGAGGAGGAAGAATGTGCCAGTCAGAATAAAGGCTTCCAGATTCTCTTTCTCGACTATCAACCAGGATGCTATAAGAGGCATCAGGTCTAAGGACAAAAGTGTAAAAGTGTGTCAATTTATCTGTCTCACACTCCACATCCTTCATGATGGGATAATTCTGTCCCTGGTAGGAATATATCAGGTGAAGCTTCTTTGTATCGGTGCCACATATATCAGGTCCGAACATTAAACTGCATAAGGGAACACTGATTTAAATCAGGTGACTTGTGTATGATGTGAATGAATGCAGAATAAAAACACAAAGGCAAGTTCAAAATATGTTCTCCCTCGCATCTTATTTCGTTGGGATTTGTAGCAGAATCTGCTGTCAATAGAACCGCAGGACAGCAAAACAGGAAAAGTAAAACCGTAAAGAAAATGCAAACACATCATTACATATATATATATATATATATATATATATATATATAGGCAATGACTCATATAAGATGACTGGTTAAACACTTGCATAGTCAAACGACCGTTGTACCCATTAGCTATAGAAAACCTCCTTATAAACTGCGGCGTCATCTTAGTTCACATAATTGAGAGTCATAATAGCAGGATTGTATTCATTATTCAATTTATTATTATTCCGACAAACAAAAGAAATACTTTTTTCAAATTCTTCTCAACTAAACAAGTGGGTAAAAATTAAGAAGAAACAACAAAAGTGTTTAGGGAAAGCGAGACCTGTATGGTGTATCACCGCTGAATTTCTTCTGGTTGACATAACCAGAAAAGAAAGGAGCTTGATGTAACCGCCACCACATTCAATATCCTGCTCAAACTTTATAGAGTACTGCAGCACAAGTGTTCTATTCTTGTTACTGAACTCTGGAATTTTTGCAGATATTGCAAAATGCCTTGCATCTGGGTATGTCTGAATCCCTGAAAACTTGTAAATAAAACACATCAGCAGATGCTATTCCATCATAAAATAAGGACATGAAATTAGCTATAATTTATGGCAGCAACACAGCCGTAGAAAACTCTTTTAAATTTTAGAAGGACAAAAAATGATTTTTTTTTTTTCTTCAAGCCAATGAAAGGGTTAGATTTTCATATAATAGGGCATGCAGCAGCAAGTAATATATAAATGAAAAGCTAAATTAAACTTGCCTTTGTCATCAGGATCTGCAGCCCAGTTTCCAGCAGTGTGCTTGAAGGATCCAGCCTTTCCTTCACTCCTTTTCCAGTCTGATTTTACCCAGCGGCTCTCCCAACCATCTTTTTAGAATAAAGAAAAAGTAAAACAGAAAAGAACATCAAAAGAAAGTACCTGGTTAAAATGGAGCATATAACTTGTTTAAATGAAAGCCTTAAGGATCGAAAATATGATTTATAAAATTCGTAAATCAAAATCATACATGCATCTTTAGAATCAATATAACAAAATATGGACTTAATGCGAATCTAAACAATGATCTCCCCAGAACTACTTCCAATATTAAAGGCTTAGACAAAGCTAATATCCACAATAACAACTTAAAAATGAACTATATTAATAGCTAATATCATTCACAAAGCATTCTTCTGAAAGTTCAGCTGCATTGGGATGGCTCAAAACATTGACGAGTTTTGGCATTTCATCACTACAGATGTACAATATCTGGTAAATAATAATGTAACATACTTTTTGATGATGAAGAACCAAAAGATATTCAAATCATTTCAAGAGTGAAAGAGACTTCAAATTTCAATTTTTGAGTTTCATAACTGAGAATGATGGATGCTAAGCATTGAGCAGCATTTTTAATAATGCCCATGGAAGTCAAACTTAACCTGTAAAAGATTAAAATGTTTGTGCAGGGTGATCCCCTTAAATATGGTTGTTTGGGATCACTTGTTTTTTTTTTTTTGTTATTGTTTTATTTTAATTCTGTTTTATTTATGCATTAAGATTAAGGAAAAATATGTACAATATTTTTATGATTTTTTGTTTTTAAAAATTAAGAAAAACTTGTTTTGATGTATTAATAATACATCCACTTAGCTTGAGTTTGTTGTATTTATTGCTTTTATTTATTTGGTATATTATAATTGATTTATTTCTTTTTTGGGTCTTTTTCTTATATGGTATAATCCTTTTCTATATAAATGATATAAGGCTCATGTGAGAGTTATGGTGTTGAAAAGTACTGAGTTGTAAATCCAAGTCGTTTTTTTCTCTTCCCATCCGGAGCTAGCAAAATCCCCCTCCCCGTGGACATAGGCAAATCAATTCAACGCCAAACCACGTAAATCTTTGTGTTTGATGTTGTGTCAATTTTTAAACTTCCACATTGTTTTTGCATAATAGAGTTTGTCTTACATAAAATTTCTATACATCTATAGGTAGAAGCAATTGATGGAGAGGTCCAGATCAAACTTAAACAACTAGATTTTGTAATGTGTTGAGGCTGACTGTGTCAAAGAAAAGTCACATTCAACACTTGCACTGGGCGACTCGGCGCTTGCCAACATAACTCTATACGGAATTTGAGGCTGACTGTGTCAAAGCATTTAAGTCTTCTATATGGAATTTGAGGAGTGTTTGTGTGGTGTGCGAACGGGAATGACTCGCAGTGCGTGAAAAAGAAGAAGCGATTTTGGTGGGTGCGAAGGCAGAGGATTATTTGTGAGTTTAAGAGAGTAGAGAAGATTGAGGGTATGTTTGGTTCGGCTTTTTGGCCCGGCGCTGCGTGGGACATCCGCTTCGTCCTGTATTGACGAACGTTTGGTTCGTAGCTTTGCGGCAAAATTTTGCAACGCTTAGCGAAAGCAGGCCTCTATATTAACCCCGCGGCCCGGCTTTCGCCTGAAGATATTCCCCGCTTACCCCTTTCATTTCTCTTCTGCCCTAACTGCTTCCCTCGCGGCTCTCCTTCGTCATCTTGCTTCGTAGGCCCTTGATCG